CCAGTCAGTGCTTCTTCCAGTGCTCCAGTTCAGGACCTGTGCTGACATAACTGTAATTCCATTGAATTCCAAACTATATGCCCACTAAAAATATCCCATGCTACTGTTTTGGCTCTGCTATCACTCCTTGCTGGTGTTTCAGAATGGAGACCTGGGCAGTCCCAAAATTACATCCCTATGAAGATCCCACCATCATAGCTTAGCCCTTGTAAGGGGAAAAAGAACAAGGATGACAGAGATTTACAATCTGACAGTTTCAACTTTAGTAGGAGTGCCTGAACAGCACAGCTGAAATTCTTTTGATGTCACACAGCTTCTCAAGGGCTATTGCTTGGAACCTTGTGGCTTGGGGCAGGATTCAGGTACTAGGGCCAGCACATGTCATGGCAAAACATATATTCATAAATATAACAAACCTGACAGCCTCAATACCTTGTTGTTCCCAAGGATGCAAAAATACAGCAGATTATTTGGGGTAAATCTCAGTTCACAATATGCAAGTAATTTCTTTCATCTGCACAATAGTTAAGACTCACTGGAATTAAAAAGTAGGTATTTCTTCAACAAAAAATAGTATAACCCTATAGGAAAAATAGTCCATGATACAGACCAGTAAGTACAAACATAGGGAATTATACATTTTTCCGTAGAAAATACATGTTCATAGTTTGGAGATTACTGTTATCAAATTTCTGCTCTTCTTCCAATGTAGCAAAAGATTAATTAGGAAGAAGGGGTTTGTGGTTGACCTGCACTGTTGATGAGCCAAAACATAAGAAAAGACAGGGATCTTTCATACAAGGAAGTTCCAGTTCTGAGAGGCAAAGACGGGCTGAGTGGAAGGCAGCTGCAGAGTAGAAGTCTGCACCATAGTTACACAGACTTTGGAGATAATCAATGGAGACAAACCAGCATTGCAAGAAAACTGCCCCCCCTCATCCCAAAGAACAGCTCCAGACAGGTTTATCTAACTTATGTGAGATCTTGATGCAGAGACAAAAAAACAGTTGCAGAAGTATCTCTTTCTCTGTTGATTGTAAAGGGAGACTGGACAACAAACTGAGATGCAGAGTGTGACAGTACAGAAGTCTGTACTGAGCAGTGAACTCTGTTTCCTTATAATAGTGCTGGATTGTTGGTTCTGCTGCTCTGCCACCCCAAAGATAAACCTGAGAAACAGGAATTTCTCAACCATATCCATGACTATCCTCAATCATCCTACAAGGAAAACCCTCTTTTTCTGTTTAGAGACACAAGAACTACTGCCTTAATAGGAGTTTATTTTTTATAAAAGCTCATACATCACTGTATGCCTATGAATATAGCAGAAACTGCAAGTCTGCTTTCCACAGTCAAAAATAATATTAATTATCATATGTTTAATGTGTACTTAATGTGTTTAATGTGTCTTAAAATAAGCAGCACTTCCTGTGCCTGTCTGGCCTGTGGGTTGCACAGTACAGGTTACGTTGTTTATACACATAGGACAGCCAACTCACTGTGCAGGTGATTTTGTGTTGGCCTCATTTCTCTCTGTGGTGTTTTTGGCTGGGGTAGAGTTAATTTTCTTCACAGTGGCTAGTGTGGGGTTATGTTTTGGATTTGTGCTGGAAACAGAATTGGTAATTCAAGGATATTTTCATTATCAATGAGCAATGCTCACACAGCATCAAGGCCTTTTCTGTTTCTCACCATTCCATCAGCAATGGGTTGGCATGCACAGGGAGATGGGATGGGACACAGCCAGGAGAGCTGACCTCAGCTGACCCCAGGAATACTCCAGGCCATATGCTCATGCTCAGCAGGTAAAACTGAGGGAAGAAGCAGGGGGAACATTCAGAGTGCTTTCCTGGGGATGCCTGAGCTCCTGCCTGACAATGGAGAGTGAATTTCGTGTTTTGCTTTGCTCGTAGGCATGGCTTTTTCCTTACCATTTAAACCGTCATTATCCCAACCTAAGAGTTTTCTAACTTTTACCCTTCTGATTCTCTTCCCCGCCTACACGGCAGGGGGGGAATTAAGCAAATGTCTGTGTGGTACTTAGCTGCCAGCTGAGATTAGACCATGACACTCTCAAATTTTTCCCAGTGGCAGCTGCTTAAAAAGAGCTATTACATAAGAAAGTGCAACTTTAAACAACATTCAATTTCTCCAAATCAAAGTTTGTCTAGACATGGTAGCAGAATAGTGCTTCTGAAAGTACTACAACCTCTGAAAATGGGAATTAGATAAATTGAACAAAAGAAATTTTTTAAAATTAGGAAACCTATCCTACAAAAAAACGCGAAGTATTAGTTACATTGGGAAAAACCTAATTTTCAGTTAATAGGGTTTTTTGATGTTAATGCATTATGGTTTTGCTCTGGTGATCTCACTTCATAAACCTTCAGGTGATGGGTGTGTGTCTCTCCATAAAGCCAGAACACCAACTATTACTGTGGGTGAGTTCACAAGTATGGTTGGCATAGGTTTGCGTTTTCCCTTGTTTCTCAACAAAAGAAATAGCTGAATCCACCAAAAAAAAGCTTGTGCAGTTGGCAAGGACAAAGTATATAAAGTTCTTTAAAGATAGTAACATAGAGATGGGGCAGCAGCTCCAAAACACTGAGTGTTCTGAATCAGCATTTTTCTGTACTGACCCCTTCCAGATAGGGAAAATTAAAAAAATAAAATCCATCATTTGCTCAAAAATTCTCTGCATTGCCAAGCACAACAGAGATCTTCCTAACATATAAAATTAATGGATTAGGATTCATCTCCTGGGATCCAACGGAGCAGGAGTTTAAAAAATGTTCTTAAAAACCACTGTTCATTGTTTTTACTTTATTGGGTAGCTGATACCTTCTAAAGATAAACATTAAGAAATACCATCCCAAAACTTACAAGATTTTAAGAATGCACAGCACTGTTGCCACATTATAATTGTAAGGTTTTAAAATTATTACTCCGTTTTCTAAAAAGAATTTTCCAATTCTTACAGCAAAAGTATTTTCAAAGATAAATTTCAATGACAATTTTATAAAGGAAACCAAGTATAATGCTTATTGGTTACTATTGTTTCATGTTGGCTCTTGAGAAGTTGATTGTGGATGGATTGCTGGACCCAGAAGGAACTGCTGGTGAGGGCATCAAGGTCATTTTCATTTGCTTTTATCTACAGAGGAGTAAAAGACAATACAATATCATCTTTCAAAGGAAAATCTCTTCTTTGCAATTTGTCACTCAGAGGTAATAATGGAGAAGGAGTGCTAGGAGCCAGAAAGAATGATTATTGCTCCCTCACTCTGCTGAAGCTTTAGCCTTTAGTCCTCTCTATTAGAAAAGCTTTTCCCCTAGGACAGAGAAAAACAAATAGGATACTGCACTCTGTTGCTGCTACTGATGCCCTGGATGGGGTTCGCTGTAAGGTAGCTTTAAAGAATGATATCATGAAATATGGAAAAGTTAATTTCACCCTCCTACCATAGCAGGTCTGTTCCTGTCCCATATTAATTAGCACTAAGAACAGACTCGTTTTATCTGAAGTACAAACTGGGGCTTTCTGTTCACCTATTGGGAAATCATTTCTCAAACTAGCTCATCTCATTGCTGAAACACATATGCACCCAAAACTTCAGCTTGGATTTTGGCATGCTTCCTGTCACTCACTGTTCCCCCTGCCCATAGGAATCCACTCCCCTGCTGTAGCAGGCACCATTTCAGCCGCAGCTGGCACAGAGCAGCAGCATGGCCCGACTGTGCCTCCTGAAGGACTTGCCTGGTTTTCACCTTTTCCTGAAGCATTTCCTCTGCCTGATGAACAGCTGGAGAGTGTGGTGCTGTCACTAGTCCTTGTTCCCAGTGCCTCACCCCACTCATATGCTGCACTGCACAGGTCTTTGCTTGGCTTTTCTAAGAGACACTTCAATTCACCAAGGCAACAGAAAACTAACCCAGAAAACAAAGCTAATTGATTTCTGCTCACAGAAAGGTCTGCCAAGCACCAGGGCATATACAAGGACTGTCAATACCAAGTTACACACTGTGAACACTGCAGAGGAGGGAAGGGGAGATGCTGGGTGTTACTCCTGTTAGCAGTGAGGAGCTCATGCTAGTTCAAACACTGCTGGCACTGCCTGCAGCACCTTTATTTGTGGAATCATAGAAGGGTGTAGGTTGGAAGGAAGCTTAAAGATCATCTAGTTCCAGCCCCTCTGCCATGGGCAGGGATGCCTTCCATTAAATCAGGCTGCTCAGATCCCCATCCAGCTTGGCCTTGAACACTTCCACAGATGGGGCATCCACAAATTTTCTGGATAACCAGTTCCAGTTCCTTACCAACTTCACAGTAAAGAATTTCTTCCTAATATCTAATCTAAATCTACTCTCTCTTTCAGTGTAATGCCATTCTACCTTGTCCAACTACTCCATGTCCTTGTAAAAAAAATCCCACTCCATCTCTCTTATAGGCTTTCTTTAGGTACTGAAAGGCTGCTCTAAGGTCTCCCTGGAGCCTTCTCTTTCTGTGAAGACAGCTTTTGTTTTTGCAAAACAAATCTGTCAGCTTAACCCAAACAGCACATTTGTTGGGGGGTTATTGTCTGCAACACAGGGACAATAACAAATTTAATTTTTCACATCAAGCTGTTTGTAAATTTGCAAGTCAAACAGTCATGCTTCATTTTGTACTCTTGTTGCTAACTGAACCCAGGTTTTGTATGGGCCTTCATACCCATGTCTCAGTCTAGCAGCTAAACTTATCCGTTTCTTTCAGCTGAACTTTTTAAATAAGGCTCCAATCAAAATGAGGTTCTCCATGCCTGGGATGCCAGGCCTTCTTGTCGAATTTACAGATTCCAAGACAACTCAGCTTCTGAGAGGGCTTATTTCAGACAAGCCTTTCACCAGATAAACAGACTGCTACCCTTTTGTTTTCTTGAAGTTTCAGAGAAGCAATAAGTAGTCTTTACTAAGAAAAAGAGATGGTTACCTGTAACAGCCAAAACTGAGGAATGAGCCTGTTATTTTTGTGTGACAGGTGTTCCTGCGACCGTGCCTGTATATGGTGCCCTCTTGACAGGAACAGGCTGACATACCTGCAATAAAATATTTTAAATCTTTCACTATTTTGTCTTCTCTTGCAATTACTAATCGGACAAAATTGAAATAGAAGTCCTATGATAATCTGTCTTTCTATGAAATGCATCCCAATACTTTCATCTAACTTCTCTCTGGGAAAGATCTCTTGCACTGGGATTAAACTGTTCAGTTCTCAGCTTTCATCAGGAGACGATGGCTAAATCTGCTCAACACTGCAGCAATCCAATTCTAAATCCATTTTTAAGAAACAACATGTGCCACATCATTTTATGGATTCTTCTATTTGTTAGAGTATTTACATTTTCCAGTGATGTTTTTAATATATCAGGTAAGAGAGGTAAATAAATATCAATGAAACAAAGCAAATTCTGCCTTGTGTAGATATCTATCACTCACTATTCCAGTTGCTGCCTGCAGGAGGCTGAACTGGTTGAAAAATCACTTCTGAAGACATGCTGCAATTGATATTTGGGTTAAGGGAAAATTCTCTCTAGCTTTGATGGGAAATGGTAACCACTATATTCATGGAAGTCTTTCAGAATTGTGTAATTATCAAATTTCTTATAAATTTCAGTTTAGTTTGCTTTTGATATTGTATTGTATGTATGAACATGCAGGCAGCTCACTACATGCTGTGAAATTGTGTTCTTTGGAGGAAAGCATCCTTCAGCCACGTTCACATGCCCTTCTCAGTCCATCAAAACAACAGAAAAAAGGAAATATACAAAATTATTTTGGAGGCATTTCACTGGGCCTTATTTCACATGGACTCAGCTTTTAGATCCTGCAATGAATCCCACTGATTCAGGTGGTGATTTTAAAATGTACTTGCTCAGTGTGCTTTACTATTCACAGTACATTAAGGATGCAAAAGCACCATGGATGCTTGCACAGTAAATAGGCACTGAAAATCCAATCTTTATGTATTTGAAATATTTCTCTTTAAAAAACAGAAGAAAACAAAAGCCTAAACAGAGCTACTTGCTTGGCCCAGCAGTGCCCTTTGCAGATGTTCTGTTTTAACACATTCTTGCTGGAACACAGCAAAATGTTCAGTGGTCTGCAGGGTTTATATCAAAATATCTGATCCATGAAATAATTAGAAAATTTTTTATTTCTTCCTTGGTGCAATATTTCTTCCTCCATATGAAATTTGGGCTCTCTGATTTTCAGTGAAATCAGTGATGAAATGTAGCAGATTACCCAGAAGCAAAGCTTTGTCCACTTTGATTGCAAGTAGGACATGTTTATTATTAAAAGTACTGAGGCTTAGTTCACGAGCTGGACAGACTACTGTAAGAGCAGGAACTAGTCTACAATATTTTTCTGTAACATAAAGAGCAATAAAATTTGGGTCCTTTGTTTCCTTTCCTCCCACCTTGGCATATTTTGATTAGTAAGGAAAATTACCATTGAATCCCCAAACTTCTTTTCTCAAGAGCTAGTTATCCTCATGTTGTACAAGGCATTTCAGAGATTTATTAGTTTAATTAACCTGTTCCCGCTGTCTGACTCGTTGGTAGACATATGGAGGGAATGGTGGACGGGAGACATATTTGCCTTCTCCTGCTGTGACATTGAAAACTCCACCTTCATAAACCACTTTGCCTCTAGAAACTGTCACAACTGGAACTCCATGGCAGACCATTCCTTCAAATATATTGCAGTCATTTGCCTGGTGATGTGTCTTTGCAGATATTGTCCTGTGTTTGCAAAACAACACACAAAAATTACTATGATTCATGCATTTGACTTCATTATAAAATGTTGATAAATTGATATAGGAAGAAAATTTAGCAACATTATTTAACTACAGCCCTGTACAGTACATCAGAGAGCAGCTGTAAAAATAGGATAGCACAATAACATTTCATTGAACAGTAATTGCATTTCAAAAGAATGAAGAGGGAGTCAAAAGGACAGAACTCAGCAGCCTTTAAATGCAAAATTTTCCACTACAAAAGAGATTAGTGGAAAAAACCCAGGTTATAATATTTTCTTTGGATAACATGATTTTATTTTGCCTTGTCAAGCAAATATCTATGCACAATTCGATCAGAAAAAGCTCTGACCTTTTAGCTGGAATGACTTGCAATTTCAAGTTTGAAAAGCATGGCTGCAATGTTTCAGAGATTGAGTCTCACAAATAGCACAAAGACCATTTCATTGGAAAGTCAGTAGATGGTAATGATTTTTGGTAATGCTTGGTGTGAGCTCGATTGATTCAATGACTGACAGCCCAAATATCTTAAGGCTGCTAAATAATAAAGACATCACACTTCTATTTATCTTTCCTCCAAGGGTATTAAGTAAATTAGAACTTCAGACTTCAGCAGTATTCATTTGACTGATTGTATTATTGGGTTTTGTATATACAGACTTCATTCTATATTATTTCCATTTTTCTAGACCATTTTTCCAATCCCAGCTGGCTACTTTAAAGGCAGAGCCAATGCTAGAGATGACATTACTGTCTGGAAGTTCCAGGCTGTTTATACCTCCTTTATTGTCCATTTTCCCTACTAAGCTACTTACTATATACTGCAACAACAGACTCTGAGTTTCAGTTAACTATATTATTAGCTTCCTGTATCCAAGCTACAGATTATATATATTATTTAGAGAGTTTATATTTTTATCATCATTTATATTTTCTGAAAAGAAGGAGGCTTCATGCCTCCTTTGGCTACTAATCAGGCTTCTTCCAGGATGGGTGCTCATGCAATCAAAAATGTATCATGCATATATTATGATGCATATACGTGCATACATATTGTTCCAGAGACTGCATCTTTCTGCAAAGGAATTATCAAAGTCAAAAGGAATATGAAATATTAATACATTAAAATATTGATCCATTTGGAGAAGAATTTTTTTTAACTTTTGTCAATATCCTTACCAAAATGAGAAATGCAAAAATCTGTATATTACTTGAAGTATAGCCATTTTCAAAAACAATCATACTAAATATTCAAAATTATTACATATAAAGTGGAAAAAAGTATTCATGGAGGGACACTTAGTTTTCTTTCATATCATTCTGTTGAACTAAGAGTAATTGGTTCTGCTAAGGGCTACATTTAAATCTTGGTGGTAACTGACATTTCAAAGGCTATATGTATGCATATGTAAATACTGTCTATGACCAGTCTAGCCATAGGAGTAAAAACTTTGCCTTATACAACACACCTTGAACAGAAAACTTATGCATGCCTGCTTACCAATATCAGCATCACCTTGTAGGTTGACTTTGGGAAAAATCAAACCTCTCTTGTTTTCACTGGTCCTATCAAACAAATTTATCCATGGTTGTTATAATAGCCCTATTAGGAGTTTCTGAACATATTCTTCAGGCTTATTGCATTGCCCTTATGGGTGCAATTGCTAGAAGAGTAAGTAAGAACAAATGTAATATAATAATCTTCAGCATTCTCTGTGTATATATCCTATCTACTTACACAATAGCACCAGGACATGAAAATAAAAATGAAGAGGGTAATTTGAGGAAACACAGAAAAATAAGCAAGATTCTTCATCAACATGTGAGCTGTTTAAATGTGCTAGAACAGGACCACTAGAGGTTACCATGCCTCAAAGGTAAGTACGTCCTTCATTTAAAGGTACAAAATGAATGGAAGTTGGCACATTTTAAAGTAATATCCATTTGTACAGCTAAACTTTGCAATAGGACAAAACACATTTCCAGAGCTTGCTTCAGCAACAAACCTCAATAGAATTCATTTACAGCTTTTATGTTGAAACAAGCTGTTGATCATGCTGCCCTTTCTGAAGGTGAAGTGCATTTTCCTTGATGGAAATGACCAAAATTTGCCTATGATTTAACCCTCTGACATTATCAATGTCAGTAAAAGTTTCAGATAGCAAGCAAGCAACCAAATAGAACTAGATGGTATGTGTGGGTCTGAAGCTTACAATTCAGCAACCTGATGCAACAGACTGTTTACAGATGTATCACCCATTTCAGCAGCAGGCAGCTTAGCAAAGTTCTGATGTTTATTCTCAGCTAATGGCAAAAACAGTTGTAACCCACTAATAATCCAAGAAACCAAGGCTGCCACCACGGTAGAGTACAACTTAACAGCTGTCTCCAGCATCCCAGGTGATGCTGGGGTCACTCAGCATGAAAACAGATTCCTTTCAAAACTCTGTATTGTATTTTTAAAAGAAGACTTGTAAAATTACCTAATTCTGGTTATAAATTGCAGTGGCTCTTTTTTCAAGCAACCCTTTCTCAAATGGAGGCTGAAATCAGAACAATTACTTCAACATTTCAAAGAACATTCTCCTCTACAAAGAGGATACTCTAAAGACATCAGGTCCTATACTGCTCTTACTTATATCAGTGTTTCCATGCAGTTCACTTCAGCCGCTTTTGATACACCTGGCTTGCAAAGCAATTTGAATTTATTAACATATACACTGCCATTCCCCTAGTACCAAAGAGGAAGACATGCTTCTGAAATTGTCTTTTTTTCACCATCATACATCTGTCAAACTAATTTAGAGTCAAAGAATAATTTAGTCTAAGAACAACTGACAGATTTGCTCTGTATGAAGATGCAGTGACAAGCAGTACTGTATTTATGCATGCTGTACGTGGGAAAGGACTTTACAGCCACTCCTAGAGTATTGCAACTAATTAAATACAGACTGCAGCTTGAAACTTGAAAAAGAGCAGCAGCTGAGACTAATGCAGCGACACACAGGATGAAATTCAAGACTATACAGGCAGTCAGCTCAGGTTATGACCTAAAACTTTGTTAAGGAGTTAGAGGGACCAGTTTTCATCTCAACAAATATGCCTATGCTTCAGTCAGAGATGGAAACAGCAAACAGTGAGTTACAGCTGGGCAGGAGGGGGACATGGATGAAGGAGAACCATTGGATATTACAGTGATCTTACACCTTTCCTAATGCATAGGACATGAAGCTACATCAGCTCTAGAACCTAAACTTTGACTGTCATAAGGATTGTCCTTTGAATTTTCAAGGTCACATAGCAAGCAAATGAAGAATTTAATTATATTCAATAGAAATGGCTACATACCTCACTCAGATTTCTTTAAAAAGTTCAGAGACAGGAATGTGAAGGAATGTTGTAGATGACAGCCCTCAGGCAAGAATAGCTGTTCAACATTTCAATAAAGGGAGGACACCTATTTTATAATCAATTAATTACCTAATTTAAAATGTAATAATAAAGCCTGTGATTGAAAACAGCTGCCTTGTTGACAGCTGCCAAAGAAAACCAGTTTATGCAGGAGTGAGTATTTGAGCTGTAAGTAAATTCTCTCAATGCTTATAGTGCAGTATCTCTGAGCTCTTCAGAGCTGGGGGTAGGTGAGAAATGCCACTTTGCTGAGGACACTATCAGCCTTTGTGAGTTGCCTCTTCACCTTCAGATGCCTTTGAACTCTACATATTCTTAACCTGCTTTACTAAAATCTAGAAAAAACAAATCTTTCACCTTTCTGTGTTTTCTGAGTCACCACTCATTTATAATGAGAATTAAGAGTTTTATTAAAAAGAAAAGCAAAGAACAGGAAAAAGAAAATAGAGGAAATATAAGAAACCATTCAAATCTGTGTGTAAAAATTCTAGCTATAAGCCTATAATGTGGATTAAAAACCTTATGGCCTACTTTATATTAAGGAATTGCAATAACTGCATATGCAAAAATAGGCAGGCAACTATTTGTAAAGTTCCTAGCCTCTTGAAAAATATCTTCAATAAACATTACTTTTGAGTAGTCATATGAATTGAGAAGATTTGTAGATAAAAAGAGATGCAAGAAGAGGGAGAAAGTTAATGTCTGGGAGCTTCAGATCAAAGTGACTTATGTGAAGAAATGGAATATTTATTTCATGCAATCATATCTCCTAAAATTCATCATTTTAAGGGGATTAGACAATGACAACAAAATATTTTTTTTTTATTATGGTAAGTAGCTCATTTGTAAACAATATTATCCAGTCTGGTCCTACCAATTGTTCCAAGCTGATACAGAATGGAAGTGAACGTTTGTGAAAAACTGTGGGCAGAAGAGAAGCAGTAATGAAAAAATAGCTTGCAGAAAAGCATACAAAAAGAGAAGAGCACAAATTAGTCTATACAATGACTAGAGAAGATCTTGAAGTGTTTACAAGGGGAAAAAGTCAGAATTATGTAAAGGGAAAATAAAGAATTATTTAATTTTTTGGGTAACATTTCCGAGATTCGCTTCTCTGAAGATACCAAGTGACATTTTGGAAACAGCAAGTTACCAGGGAAACAAACATCAAGCACTCTCAGAGAGGCTCATCTTGTTACAGGCCACAGAACCCGTGTCACTGAGGCTGGAAAACATCTCTGGCTATCATCTATTTCAAGCCCTCTGTTCTGATTAGGGTCAGTCAAAGTAGGCTTCTCAGGGCCATGTTAAATTGGGTTTTAAGTGCCTCCAAAGAGGGACATCCACAATCTCTATGGGCAACCTGTGCCAGTGTTTGATCACCATCATAAAAAAGCAATATTATTTATCATGTTGAAATGGAATTTCCTATATTTTAATTTGTGCCTATTGTTTTCTTCTCCCCATTTTCTTAATTTGAGATAAGATGTCTTTGGCAGGATTCTGGTGAATTAGTGTACATTCATGCATGCACACTGCTTTCACTTGTGCAGAACATGGGGCTATTGAAAA